CCCTAGGATAAGCATTCGATCTCAAGGTCAGTTTGAACCACGAGGTCAGTAGTTCAAACTCACTAGCTGCTCCTCAGAAACCCTATACAGGGTAGCTATGAGTTGGAACTGAATTGATGGCATTTTACAACAACATTCAATCTGTATGCTGAGCAAATAATCTGAGAAGCTGGATTCTATGAAGAAGAAAGTGAGCATCAGGAATGAAGGAAGACTTATTAAGAACCTGAGACATGCAGACGATACAACCTGGCTTGCTAGAAGTGAAGCGGACTTGACATACATGCTCATAAATATCAAAGACTACACCCACTACACCCTTCAGTAAGGGTTGCGTTTCAGTGTAAAAAAAACAAAGATCCTTACAACTGGGCCAATAAATAACATGATAAATGGAGAAAAGACTGAAGTTGTCAAAGACTTCATTTTGCTTGGTTTCACTATCAACTCTCATGGAATCAGCAGTTAAGAAATCAAATGAGACATATTACATTTGGGCAAATGTGCTGCAAAAGACCTTTATTAGCAACGGAGCGAGCAAATCTTTAAAGTGAGGATCATTCCCACCCCCTTGGTACACAGGGTCGACAAGGATGCGGAACTCAGACACTGGCTACCCAAAATGCGGGAGGCTACAAAGGCAAGAAGTGACTGGCTTGTAAGCTTTCAACAGGGAACCTAGTTCCAGAGGGTACGGGGAAAGGAAGACTCTCTAGAGTTGTTTCCAACCTGTCTGGATGGGGCTGATAAAAGGTGATGGGGACAAGACTCTTGTGGTTCAACAGGGAATGACTGCTATCAGGACTGACTGTGAGTGTTGGAAAGGTAAAGCAGACATTTTGTTTTTTTCTTATCACCCCCCCCTTCTTGTTTATTGGCCCCCTCCCTAGCACCCAAACTATCCTGTGTCTATTCCCTACCCTGTGCTCCAAAACGTAGATGTTTTGTAAGAAAAGGAGGGGAGCGGTTGATTTTGCAGTCCAGGAGCGGAAGTCCCTGGAACCACCAAGGGAGAAAAGCAAAGTATGGAACCCTATCCAGAGGAGCACTGATGCCAGAGATGGAGGCAGAGACGATGACGCAGAGAGAAGAGTGGCTGGGGACTCTGGACTCAGGGAGGGAGGGGGGCTGTGT